GGTATAATCATTACCATGCAAGCAAGCAAAGCTATGGTAAATAAGATTTAGTTAACATTTTACATTGCTATTTTACTTTCTTTTGAGGTACTAAACCTTTTACAAATATCTTTGTTTTACTGCATGAGAAAAAAAAAGGAGAGCTAGTGTGACCAGAACAATTAAGTTAAAAAAAAAAACTGTCCAAAACGTTTTGGTATGTTGTGAACAAATACAAAGGACAAACTAAATGAAAAATAAAACAGTTCTAAACCTAATCTCTTTTTAACCCTCTCTCCACAGCATCTTTTTCTGGGCATGTCACAAGGTTTTTAGTGAGTTACATTCAAAAATTGAAACTATTTTTTTTTTCATGGTATATCAATAAGTATATCATAAAAAAGGTATCTGATAATCTATATTTTAATAATTTACAAGTTTTAAGTTCTTAATTTTATAAAGCAATATTTAAAAATATCCTGAATTTCCCCTGGTGAGAATTGTGACATTTTCTCAGTAGGCATCTCCTCTTCTTTAGTTTATTTATCACCCTTCCAATGAGTATGAAATTTAACGTAAATTACTCTATAAAATTGTCATTACTCATAGAAATCATAATTTTTATAGCATTCAATCCAGTTTGGTTACAGAGCCGTCAAATAGAAATCAGACCCTTCTTGCCAAACCCACCAGTCACATCCGCTCTTTCAGGATTTGTTAATAGTTCTCTCTTACATTTAATACCATATTATTTTTAGCCAATAGAAATTCAAGGTTTTCATCTATCTTTATTTGTTATTATAAAAGTAACTAAAATGTAAAAATAGGAAACTTTTTTAAGTTAGTTAAGGTTAGATTAGGTAAAATTAATAATATAATGAAAATTTTCATGAGGTACGCTTGCAAGCAGCTTGGAGTACCTCGTGCATAATGTAATTCGATATAATTCACAAATTATATAATGTTTTATTCTTCATAAACTTGTGCCATTTGATGTTCTCACGAGCTGTTTTACCTTTGGTATGCAAAAGTACCACTGACCCATTTTTACATCAGATTTTGTTTGCAAACTATTTATTTAGATTAAAAATGATATTGATAATATTTTAACACTATTTGTTTTATGTTATAAAATATATTAGCAAAACCTTTCTCATTAACTACAAATTAATAAAAATTTCTCACTGATATTTTAACAATATAAACACTGTTAGCAGGCTACACTTATTAATTTGATCCATTATGTGTTTTCTTTATTGTTGTAGTTTGGATCACTCTTGGCACCCATAAACTGGTAAATTGGTGCTGTAATTATGCAAAACATTTAATTTTTGGTTATAAAATTTAACTGTAACAGTATATTTAAATTATTGTATTTTATTTCTGTTACTTTAGAAAAATAATTTTGGAGCCATATTTACAAGGAAATAACTTTTAGACTGCTATGTTTATTAACTTTTACTTTATTGTTTTTATAGTCAACTCCTGCAGTTGAAAAAACTTATTTTTTTTATGTCAGGTCTAGCCAACAGTGTATTAGGACTATGGACTGTGATTATGCACTATGTTCCATTTTTGCCCCTGGGGACAGACACTGCATTGTCGGAACAAAGGTAATACGATTGAAAAATGCTTGGGAAAATATACATGAAATACAAGCAATCAGTTTATTTTCTGTAAGTATTTAACTTAAAATCAGTTTTCAATTTTGATCTTTTTGTAATAGCTATATTGGGTTTACTTACATTTAGAAGATGACATTGTGTAATGTTTTCCTATATTAATTATTTTTATCTCATTCAATAGACTGGAAAATTGCAGATATTTGATATTGGAGCTGGGAAACTCTTAGAATCTGTTGATGCTCACAGTGGAGCTGTTTGGTCAATATCCATGTCTCCAGATCAGGTGAGGTTTTGTTTTGATCAATATTCATGGCTATAGATAAATTAATCTTCTATTTTGATCAACATCTATGTCTCCAAACAATTAATATTCCAGTTTGTTATGGTTTGAATGTCAAAGGTGTGTGAAGCATAGAAACTAGTGCTTGATATGTTATCTTCAGACTAAGAGTTCAGTCATTATTTGTATTTTCATCAGTTTCAAGACTATATTTATTTTTAGTATCATTTAATTGAAACTTAGTTTTGTATTAACCCTCTCACCCCTGGTATCCTTTACTGTGCATGACACAGGGATTTAACATCTTACAATCAAAATTTTATTAAACTACTTTTTATTTATGTTATACCAATTAGCATAGCATAAAATCTTAGCTAATAATCAATATTTTAATAGTATATAAGTTTTAAGTTCTTAATTTTATTTTTTTTCAGACCCCTCCTGCCACACACCCACTTGTCACATTCTCTCTTTCAGGATTTGTTAATAGTTCTTTCTTACGTATAATTATATATTACCTATAACCAATAGAAAGTCATGGTTTTCATCTGTCAAATGACGTATTCTATTTCATTGTGTTCTGAACACAGAATAGTCAATTTCACTTGTAATACAACTTTGGTTCTCATGGGAATCAAAACAGCTAGCTTGGATGCATTTGTAACAGCTCTTGTTGCATAGTTAGAAAGCCAGAAAAATTGTTTGTGTTAGAGGAAATTGTCTGATTATTGCATATTATTAGTATATGTTATATGGTTCATTATTTAATTAAATAAAAATTATCTAATGCACTACTACCATTAGTATATAAATCTAGGGTTAATTGTCATCGATATTCGACAGCAAAAAGAAAGAATACTCAGATAAGTACTTTATTTCTTGTTTTTTTATGTTTATTCTTTATTTATTATTATAAAAATAACTAAAACATAAAAATAGAGATCTCTTTAGGATAGTTATGGTTAGGTAAAATAAATAATAATGATAGTATAATAAACATATTTCATGAGGCACGTACTCGAGCAGCTTAGGGTAGCTCTTGGGTAATGTAATTCAATAGCATAACATGAGCTGCATATTCCCCACATGACTTACAACATATAATGTCACAAATAGTAGACAGACATGGTTCAAAGTGCAATAAAACAATAAATTTTACTTACAAATAAATAATGCTACTTAGGATAAACTTATGCTACATTTTAAGTCATTCTAGAAAGAAAAGGAGAGTAATTTAGGTTTTTGGTGGTTAATATATAAAGTTTTACTGAAAACAAACATTTCAAATGCATTTAGGATGTTTTAGAGATTACACAAATGAAAATTGAGATATATGAGATGAAGAAAAGTATTTTTAATTTTAACATGAATCATTTTGTATGCAAACTATTCAAAACAAATACTCTATATTCAAAGACAAATCTGTTTTATTTATAAAAAAATACTTCACTAAAAATATGATTTTTTTTTTATGTGAAAGGTTTTTAATACTTACTTAAAAACTGCCAAATTTTGTGAAGATATATACACTATATCAAAAGTTAGTAGTATCAAATCTACAAAGACTATACAGGTACAAAAAGGTCACATGGTCAGTCAAATTGACTGACCTCGTGTGGAGAGAGTTAAGAAATGTATTTCTCATGCTTTTATCCTGAAAATAGACATTAACTAATCACATTTTGAGGGAGTATTAGAAATGATGAAAAATAATTCTAGATTTTCCCAAACAAATTTTTTTACACTAAACAAGCAGGGACAAGACACAAGAGAATGCTCTAAGACCTCCTAGAAGTTTATCAAACTAAAGTTTATATATTACCTTACAAGGTCATTGGAGGGCTATTGGTTAATAAACTTGCCTTTCTTTTGTCAGACATCAGGTTTGTTGAGGAATGTAAAGTTGCTGTTACTTACTGTTCGTAATCATTTATTCCTGAAACAACCGCTTCTAATAAATATTAAGATGGGGATTTCTTAATAGTTTAATTTTTTAACAGAAGTCTATACAGCACTTATTACTTAACACTTGTGAAATTAAATACCCAGCAATTAGCTACTCTAGCAAAAGGGCCATTGGCAATAGAATCTTTAATTATAATAGTGTGTTAGCATAAAATGTCATGAAGCTCCTCATTGGTTCCTTTCATTGTGAATATAATTCATCTTAGCTATTCTACTAATGGCCCATGCATTCAGTCATAACCTTGGCATTGTAGCTAATGATAATTTGCAGCTCTTTATAAGCAAAGGTTTCTAAATTCTAGGATTGTGCTAAAATTACTTGAAATTGCCCAAAACAAATAATTAAATAATAACTCATTAAAGTTGTACTTAAAAGTAATCCCACTTAAAGAATGGGTGAACAGAATTGAAGAAAGAATTCATAAATTCATAACATAGTTAAAGAAATATTTTTAAAAACATTGTTATGAATTAGAAAAATTTTTGAATACTTAGATTTTTTGCATTGTAGATTCATTGCCACTGTTGAAGTTGTTCATTACCAAAGTTGTTAAAGCTGCTAACAACTTTGTTTTAATTTATAAAACATTTTATATTACAACTTGATGTAAAGAACTAGGATTCAGTTTAAAAACACATTAAAACGAACATAGAAAGTATTGTACAAAAACATGTTACAGTTCTCTCAGATTTTAATATTTTTTTGCAAAATGTTATGGTTTAAATACAAAACTTATTTTGGATTCCCCCAATTAAATAAAACACATCTGTTACCATTACTAAAAAACAGTTACTGTTGATGCTTTGTCAGTTCTGATAGGTAAAAGCTTGAAATACATTAAAAGAGCATTTAAACAAATATTGTAATATTAATAAAGAAATAACAGGAATTAATCAGTTTACTATCATCAGTAATTCCAATGAATTTAAAGAGAGAATTCAAAAATTCAGCTTAACTCTTTCAGCTCGGGCCCTGGGACCAACCTTGTAACTATTTTGTGCTTGTTATAGTTTTCATGCTATAACTTTTAAATTAGTAAACATATATGTTAATGAAATTTGGCAGATTATCAGTAAACATTAAAATGCTTTCATATGCAAAATGTCAAATTTTTTTTATTAAGTCTTAAGATTTCTTAAGCAATGTTTTTCTCCAGCCTTTTTTTTTCTTTTTGCATGTTGTCTGTCCAACATGCAAAGTAATTTTCATTTTAAAATTAAACATATTATTATGCATCAGAAAATTTTGAAATTACACAAGCAAAATCTTTATAATGTCTGGATAGTTATCAAACATTTCTTAACAAAAAACTTTATATTTTAGCTGTTTTTTCGCTAACGAATCTCTGTACAGGTTCAGTAGATTTGACCGATCTTGTAACCACCATAGAGAATTAAGAAATAAATATAAATTATTCCTCTTTCATTCTAGAATGACAAGAGATTATAATACAAAAACATAAATGTTTAGACTAAATAGCTTAAATCTCATAACTAGTTTTATAATACAAAAACATTTATATATATTTATTATTTTTATTATTATTGACATTTCAGCCATGCCTGGCTAACAATACACAAGTTACAATGACGGAGCACACGTGCTCTCATGTTACCATATCCAGTATAAAACTGAC